GATGGGGAAATGTTCCAGAAATTACATTATTCCAATGTGAGCGCTTTGAAATAAAAATGACAATTATAAAAAATAGTAAAAACTGACGAAAAATGATTATTTAACCAATAGTCTGGTCGATTTTTGTATAACACACTGGTACAATAGACAGATCTCGTTTGCATTACTTGGAATAATAAGTGAACGAAAGAAACTGGTAGTTGTTGGCAAGGCTCATGTCCATAAACAGTCAACACACACGAATTGATAATTAACGGTACATTGGGTGTTTATAAAATTTGTCTTTTGCATCGATTATAGTTTGATTATGTACTGAACCGCTTGTGGATCCATTATAATGAAACCTTCAATCGCATTTTTTGCCCTTCCTTTACAATAGTGAATTAAATACAATAAACGCAGATTTTCATTTTTTTATTCTAGGTTCTATAAACGTTTCTATTTGACGCATAAATCTAAAGTAGTCGCGAGACTTTCAATCAAGAAATGAAAGTTCGACCTTAGGTAGTTCTAAACCTACTATCGGTGTCTTAAGTATCTGATCCGTCTCTGGTACCTTAGAACTCTCGCTTAAGCCTAGTTCTTTACCGCCTGCCAAAGGTGACTTACATTAATAAGTATCAGACATAACATCGTTATTAACAGAGTGGTTACCCATTAAAAAAGTATCAATAACGACTTGCCTAGCATTTCGGGATACGTCAAGCTCTTCCGTCCTTCTCGTGTTTGTTTTCTTGTGGTGGATCATTTTCAAGTGAAGTTCAACGGAAGATAAATAACAAATACAAAATATAGGAATCCCACAGGTATAAATTGTCCAAAATCGAAAAATCGTTTTCCAAAATACAGTTCGAATACAAAAATACGATAAGTAATCCAAGATTGATCTTTCAAGAAAGTTAGTGTTATAAACGATTAAATTTCCAAATGTTTCTTTATTCTTCTTAATAATCCAACTGTCATTGGTCTTGTAATCAAAAGTGATGGATAATTCCAGACTGTAAATGGATTTCTACCTTGACAGTTCCAATGGGTTCCAATAAGTGTACTCCTGAACTCGTTTCTCCCAGTCCAAAGTCCAGATAAAGCAGAAATTCTAGGAGAAAGCGGTCTTATTTAATAAAAACATGGAAATACAAAGCAGTACTTGAAATTAATACACCTTCCGGGTTACAATTACTCCGAAGAGTATCCGAAACAAGGATAAATAAGTGACGTTAAGTCCAACAGCTACCCTATCAATCCAAATATGGCTGTAGCCATATTAAAGATCAAATTTAAATAACATATATACAGATCAGAAGCAAACATAAAAACTTCAATATAAGTACAAAATATAGAAAGAATAACAATATACAATGATAAAATCTCAAATTGGAATCAAATAAAATACCAAAAATGTTAACAGAAAAAGTCCGTCATGTCATAACAAAAATATGTAAACATGGAGGGATTTTCCAAAAAACAAAACATTTAAAAAGGATTCTACACTGAACCCTACTGTCGATTTGCTTTTACATATAAAGATTGGTAACATTCTAGACAGCATTCAAAGAGAAACGGATACGTTATGTCCGTCGTTATATTAATCATACATATTTTTGTTTCTGAATCACTTATCATACGGTCGATGATGAATAAAAACAGATTTCTAATAACACAATAGCAAGGAAGCTGAAAGAAATCTGTAATCTCAAGACTAGGGTGAACTCATTCGTATGTTTATTTTCCATACAAACGGCGCAATGCTCATGAGGAAACATTGGATACTTTTTTCACGTTGCCGCCCATTGTGATATTACAAAAATATTATATTTGATGAAACATCATCATAAATACCTGGAAAAAAAATAAGTCGTTTATTAACAAATTACGAGTGGTTACAATCTTGTCGTGTATGAATAATACACAACTGATTGATTCGTAAGCTTGACATGTACCCAGATCGTCAACGAATACACTTGAATAAATTTAGATGATGACTGTGCACACCTGTGAATAAGTTACAACTTGCAATCTGTTATCTATTAGATTCATTTATTATGCTTCAAAAGTTTCTCCGATTTTCGCAATATACATGTCTAATGTGATATGAAGTTTGCGATCATATATACTGCATGGATTGCATAATGCCGAGTTGTCCGCAGATTGAAATGTGCATATTTTCCCGGGAAAACAAAGTCAAGATTGCATTGTGTGCAATGTGGAAGCACTGCTCATCCTGTGCGTCATTTGCGCTAGCTGAAAACTTGAATAATGATCAAATACTGAAAACGTTTGAGTGGGAGGTGACAAATTCGTTCATGTTGAAATTCTGCAAATGTATATTTACACCGAATCGAAAACGTTTCCATTTAACCTTATGATAATAATAATAATCATATCCAGAATAATACCGTAAACATTTTCCAATACTTAATGTTATGATACAATGATGAATCAGAACACTATATTAATGAGATTTTTACGAGATAAATGAGAAAGACACTCGTCGAAATGATGTTTTTGTAATTAGCATAACTAAATAACCTGAAGTTGAATATTTATTTAAAAATGTCGTTTAACAATGAACTGAATCAGTCACTCATATACTGATCGTTATGAGGAAAAGTGAAAAAGTAACAGTATATTTCTAACAAAATCAGATTGACAACATTGACTTCACTTACATGAGAATATACTTTAATAACTAAGATGCATTACAGAACAGATCCGATAGTAGTATTTGCTGTTTGATTCCAATACTTGGCAAAGAAGAACAATTTAATTTGTCTGACTGATTTACAATCATCTACGAAATTTCCGTGAGAAAAAACATTTCTTCAAGTTTGGTCGTAGATAACACAACATTTGCGGTCTGAGAGGAAAGAAATTAAATGTCAATAAGAAATATAAACTTTTCGAGTGCATGGGTGTGATTTCGATTGCATGAGAACTGAAAATCACAGAAACACATTTCTCATCAAGGACACTTTCATTCTTACAACCACGTTCATTATTGAGTGACCAATTCTAGCACATTGTAACGTGTGATTAGAAGTAATTTGAACAGCCCCTTCATTCTCATTGGACAACCAAAATGCACGCGAAGCCTTGAGCTTCTTCGAAAGCGTACATCAGTATTGGGTGCTTTTGGTAATTCGTGTTATTTGCATTATCTACGATAAATTGTTTATGACTAGACATCATTAAGCTGGTATACTTTTGTGAAATGACTCATTCTCCCTCTTGCAAATCGGACGAGTGCATTATAATAATCGCATATCAATTCATATCAGGCTTTTTGGAGCTGATATTTCGTCACTCACCACTACTCCTTTTTTATTTTAAGGTTATGCTGTTGACTGAGTGAGTTCTGAACAGAAACTGTGAGGCAAATTTATCATCAGACTACTTATTCTAAAGTACTTTTGTACACAATAAAGTAAACTCGTTATAGTTTAGGCACTATAAGTGTCGAGCATGAGAGTTAAAGAAATTGCACACTTCTCGCTTGCTTCTGCTTCTATGATATATTCTAGTGATAGAACTAGAACTTGATTTGCGTAGCGGTTAAATTGTGAATTGAATTTCTCAATATAATTTGAAGAATTCAGTAAATTATAAGCAGTTGTAATTCCTTCAATGCACAAATGATTGCTTTCAGACATCACAGCCCCTTTTTTTCAATTTTCGTGATAAAAATCAAAGAGTCAAACAGAGGTGAATACAGCAGGCTTGAATGTTAAAAAAATATTTCCGCCATTGTCGCAGTTCGCTTACATGAGTGTCTGATCTAAGAACTCATCACCATGAAAATATTCCCACTACGATTGTTTGACCTGAACAAATATATCCTACAATCAAAGGATCTATTGTTGAATGCTACAGATGTGTTTGCGAGATTTCGCTACACAAAACGCCAAAATATTCAAACATTGATATTGCGTCAACGAAAGATCTGCGAAATAAACGAAGGTAATAAGCTTTCGGTTGAATGAATGACACATTCATTCAAACATCTGTACGTATACTTCATGGAACTTGTTCATCTTGCTTCATGAAACTACAAGCGAAAACAGTAATTGTTTGCAAAATTAGTTTCAGGTATTTGAGGTCTACCGTACCAAGTATTCAGACATATTGTTTTGTGAGCTGTGTTATGCTGCAACCTAGAATATAGCTCATTTGTCCTTTGAAGACTGTCTCTGTAACATTGCGGTACCGTGTTCGTTAGCGTATTGTTATATTTCTCTGATGAGCAATAGCATCCGTCATGTGAATCAGACATGGCATACTTGCAAAATGTCGTAATCGGTCGGTTGCAATCGGTCCTATTCCTAATTTCACGAACACTTTCTCGTAGCCAGTGATGTAAATATAAGGTGTGAACCCTCAGTCAACTGATGTGGACCAAATAATCTGCACAGATGCTGTCTGTACAATACATCGTCGTCATTAGGTGGATTCGAATCAAGTTCACTATAATCGACGACAGATCGTGATCCATTTGTGCAACCTTTGAGGACAGAAGTGAAAAGAGTGGAACTATTCTCATATCATGTGAGACGTGTGATGCATCCATCGTAATTTTTAAACAGTGAATTCTCAAAGCTATCTGCTTACACTTTTCAATGCCATTCTGATACGCTGACGTTCGCTCTATATTTCACACGATGGTCATACAACAGCCGAAAAATTTGTTGTGCGAGTATTCCAAACAATGACTCGTCATTTTTATTTAGTCATTATTTCCTGGAAAGCGAAGTGTTGGATTTAGTTGTAATGGGTAGTTGAGTGTTCACTATATAATTTGTACCTTGCATTTTATTGGTCAGTACGATCGAACAATCTAGAAGTTGTTTTCTATTGGTCGAAACATTGACTGTTTGGTCAGCCATTTTGTTTGGCATTCTATTCGCTTGGTGTGTGAGACACGGATCGTTGTGATGATTTGTTGTTGTTGTTGCCTAATCAACTTGAATGTAAGTAACTAGGAAATTAATAATTGTTTGTTGCAGAACCACACACGATATTTATTTATCTGTTCCAAATAAATATTCCAAACACTCAAGGAGCTTTTACTTCATTGACTTCGGGTGCGTTATTCTGGTGAATCTGACGTTATGCAACGAAAATCCAACAGTTATTCAAGTTTTTTGCTTCAATAACAACAACATCTAGAAGACAGAATGTCAGATTTATCTGTTTAGTTAGTAAACCCTGAAAGTCCTGTCTCAAGCTGCCAAAAGAGCCTACATGAGAAGCAAATGGAAATAGAATTGGCAAAGCTAAAATTACAAGAAGTGGAAAAAAGGATCTTGTTGGAAATACTATTACGAGAAGGATGTCCCCAAAATTCTAGCGAAAAAGGAGACATGAAACGCGATACCTGTCCTACAACGAATTATGTAGAAAGATACTTCGAACTGCTAAAGCCAGAAATAAGTAGATTTGACGGAAATCCAAAGGAGTATTGGATATTCACGAGAGAGTTTCAGAAAGTTGTAGAACAAGCGACAACCGACGACGCCATACGCTTGAATTACCTAATCCAATTTTGCACAGGTAAGGCGAGAGACTCTTTAGAGCATTGTACTATAATGAATGGCACAGATGGCTTTATAATGGCTAAAGATATCTTAAAAAGGAAATTAGAAATCAGAATTACATGGTGGTTAGGTCCTTTATAGATGAAATAATTGACGGGCCACCAGTTAAGAACGACGACTCGGCGGCATTGGCTGACCTTAGTCAAAAAATGCAAACATGCGTCGTGACGTTAAAACGGTTAAGTTACCAGTCCGCTTTTAATGCAAGCAGAACGCTAGAAGCTATTGTGGCGAGGTTGCCTTCGAATCTCCGGTTTAAATGGACGGAAACAGCGGTAGATTATATGAAACAAGACACAGAGCCTACCTTTGAGGACTTAGCTAGGTTTATCGAGGAACGTGTCAACATAATGTGTACGAGATATGGAGAACTCGCAGCGAATATAAAGTCAGATAAACGAGTCCGGAACGTTGTTTCTTCTCAACCACCGAGTACAAAAAAGGACGCGTTTACATTGCAGCACTGGCCTTCAAGTCAACGTCAAGAAAGGTAGTTAGTGTGTATTTTATGTAAAGACAACCACTTTCAAGACCAGTGTCCAACGTTGCTATCCCTTGAAGTAGATAAAAGGTTAGATCTAATCAAGGAGAAAAGGTTATGCCGATTATGTTTAAAGACTAATCATATAGCTAAGGATTTTAGATTGCGCAGAGGATGTACCGCGGAGGGTTGTGGTGGTAGGCACCATGTTACGACGGACGTCTCACTATCTGATGCGAATGTTGCTACTAATTACGTTTCAAATTTCCGAGCGGAAAATGAAGAACCTAAGGTGGCATTTGCAGTGGTCCTAGTGATTCTCCGCAATCGTGACCGTACGGTAGAAACTTTAGCATTCTTGGATAGCGGCTCTGACTCGACATTGGTACTTAAGTATATTGTCGACGATTTAAAATTACCTATGGAATATGCCCGTGTTCGCATAGAGACTATGAATGCTTACAGAGAGATGCGGACAAATGCGGTGCAACTAGATTATGAACGCGCGTACTTTGAAGGCTGTACCTTTTTTTCACGTGTATTATCTTTTTCGTTTTCCGATCTTTTTACTCTAGTTCAACGGTACATATTAACTCATCTCTTACAACTTCTCCTCGGTTATTCTTAGTTTAGTAATTTTCGCTGTAGTTTTTGGCTTCATAATTCCAAACAGACATTGTGCCTATAGTAACACAACTCTGCTTACAAATAATTCCACAAAGATGTCACGTTTATCTAAAAAGCACTTGATTTCACCTGTCGAATATAACATCTGTAAAAGATCCAAATCAGATACTAAATTCGATAAAATCAAACGTAAGAATATTGCTCCATCCGTATCTTATTCTGATCTCCCCACTGGCTCAATAGAATCTTACCGTGAACTTGTAAACGACTTCTCTTTACCGTGTGTCCCGCTCGTTGATATAAACACAACTCACCTCCTTCCGAGTGACTCGACACCATCCACTACTTCTTGTGTTCCATCTGAAATAGACTCCAGTGAGCACTTGGTAGAAAGTGTGGCTGGTCTTAAACATTTGACGAGCCCGCAAGATGATCGAATTCATAGCAATCCGAAAAATGTTTCTAGGCCTTTTTGCCATAGGATATCCAGTACTGTTGATCTGGACTGTTCACTTTCTGATATGTTCATAACTTCGGATGACTTTACGCAGACGGAGCAACCGCAAAACACTTGTAGCAAGTCTGTTCATCATCCTATTCGCCATAACAGCTGTGACCTGAACTCCAATAGATTCCCCACTAATAGTTCCGAGGACACCTTAAGTACATTCGATATCAAGCTAACCATTCAGGATTTACTACCTTATAAATACCTGGTCAGTGTTCCAGAAAATCCTGATCTCGATATCATTAAAAAAACGGAAATAGTAATTGACCACATATCCTCTGAAGTTTTAAAAAGACTTCAGTGCATGCAGAATGCGATTATTTATAACGTACCTGACAGTGCAAGCCTCAATTCTGTTAAAAACACTCTCCTTAAAGAGTGTGGATTGTCCGGCTCTTGGTGCGTAGCACGCAGGCTTCGTAAAATTCAGACTAAATATTCCTGTCCCATTCTTCTTCGATTTAGTACTGTCATCGAAGCCAATCACTTTATTAACAGTCAGTCAATGCTTAGACACATTCCTTTGTTTAAGAAGATTAGAATTATCAGGGATAGAACTACTATACAGCGCCGTATCACCAATGGCCTTTCAACTATGCCGGTCGATTCGTGTACTAGTAGCAGCGTCAATCACGAATGTCACATGAACCCTACTATACCTAACTCCACCCCTCCTAAAACGGAGAACAGATCCAAAGTGACTATTAGTCCGAAGACCTGTCCCCTGAACAAAAGTGCTGCAACTTGTCCCGTAGTCAAAAGCCCATCTACATGTAAACCACAGGTCAATCGCACTTTTGTAATACATAAACATTGTCCTAAAGATAAAGGGACAGACCTAGTGGTTCGAAATTCCCACAAGAGACGTGCTACTCGCCCTAACCGTCAGTCTGCAGTACTTAACATACCTAATAAAAAAAAATGCCTGCCCCCTACCTCTCCTACTCGGGACGCTACTATACTTCTAAAATTGAACCCTAGGACTCCTGAGAATACGGACACTCATACCATAAATACCTCCCTAAACTCTAACCGTAGGCGCCTCCCCGTTTCCAACCCAAAGCCTTTACCGTTGATTGCGTACAAAAAGACTAGGATGCCTAGAGTTGCTGAGATAACTCGTAACACTAGCCTGCTTGGGCATCCGCCTAATGTTCCTAGACACCACCCTAGCCGAAATTCCTTTTGCAATTCTTCAGTCTCTCCAAAAAATGTACCTAACCCTTTTTTAACGCTCACCCCCTCAACAGAGTTGTTTTTCTACCTCCAGCTGTTGAGGGCGATATTTCCCCCTCCTTCAAGTCATGCTTTGCATTCTGTGATGTAATGGATGACAATCGATCTTTGACGCTGTCTTCCCCTTCTAGCTGTAATACCTTTATGTCTGGTCCTTTTGTCAAACCACCTTTCACATTGTCCAAAGATTTGACTAACTCCACTATACCTTATCCAATGGACTTACGAAACGATCCACCCTTATGCCCCCTAGCGACTTCCTCATCTGTTCTTTGGGAGTCATCAGTTAACTCTGACGAACAACACTTATTATTTCCTACCTCACATGTTTCTCTCACCATGCCTGTCTCTGAATACCTTTCTCCCTCTAACTATATCGCTCCCAAACTAACTGATCATTACAATCAAGCCTATATTCCTACTTCCAGCCCTTCTTTAGAACACACACCATACAACCCTCCAGATGCCCATCGTGCATCCCTGAAAGATGAGTATTCGTCCTATGTTACACTAATGCTAATTAATTCCCGATCTGTTATCAATAAGATTACCCACTTACGCTCTCTTGTACTTCTAAACAATCCTTCCATTGTCCTGATTACTGAAAGCTGGTTGTCCTCCGATGTCCCTGACTCATACCTTCTAATAGACTCTTATGAACTCTTTCGCGGTGACCGAGGATCTAAAAAGGGTGGTGGTTGCCTCATCTATGTATCTAGAGACATCAAAGCAGAAATGTTTTATGATACTGTTCTTAATCAAGTGCCTGATTCGATATGGCTGACTGTGCACGCCCATGAATGTAAAATACTGGTTGGATGCATATATCGAGCTCCTAACACTCGTCGATCGGTTGACGTTGCTATTGGTGAGTCGTTTGCCAGGGCTGCCTGTCTTAAATTCACCTGCAAAATTATTTGTGGTGACTTCAACCTCCCTGGAATCAACTGGCGGACACATTCCGGTCCACTACGATTTGATAGCTTACTTGGTCCCCTAGACACACACGGTTGGCAACAACATGTGCACCTGCCTACTAGGAACCACAACATCCTCGATTTGGTATTTTGTCACGATGTCACCCCGACATCTGTGTCTGTCTGCGAAACGTTTCACAACAGTGACCATAAAATTGTCCTCTGCACCCTTCCGTTTTTTGCTAAATGTGACAAATCTAAAACAGTAAACCGTTTTCAATACAGAGACTATAAACATGCTGACTGGGACAGCTTTCGGTTTCTAATTCAGCACTCCGACTGGACTGAGTTTTTTTCTTGTCTTGAACTTTCTGATGCATTACATATATTCAACGTCACCATCAAATCTGCTCTAGACACGACTATCCCACTCAAAACGTCTTTCAAAACAGTTACTCCTTATATCACCTACAAAGCTAGGGCTAAACTACGTCAACTAAAACGGGCGTATTGCAAATCTAAGGACTTCAGCATCCTGTACCAAATTTACGCTTTACTTGACGGTGTTAAACATCAACATGAAGTGCGTAGGCAAATCGAAGAAAATAATGCTCTCGCTACTGAGTGTAAGTCCCAAAACCTCTGTCGTTTGCTTAACAAACGCATAAAAAAGGACTCAGATCGAAAAATTCATTATATAATACATGATGGACAGACTTATTATGACGAAGCTGTTATTTGCGAACTGTTTAGTACATGGTTCTCCCTCAATCTGAACACATCTCCTACCCCTGATACTAACACTCACTGTAGCAGCATGCATAATCTTTGTACCATCAAATTTGATCTTAATAATATTCAAGCCGCCATTAAAACCCTTAAACCCAATGGCAGCTGTGGTGCGGATGAGATACCTTCCATACTTTTTAAAATGGCAGGACCGAACCTTTCAGCGCTGTTGCTTAAAATTTTTACCTTATCCCTTGAGTCTGGTACATACCCCGAATCGTGGAAGTTGACTCATATTGTCCCAGTACATAAATCTGGACCGAAAGACTTAGTCCAAAACTACAGACCGATTAATATCACTCCTGTTATATCACGTGTGATGGAGAAAGTGATAAAAGATCAACTATCTGATCACTTACTCAGGGAAGGTCACATTGACCCCTCTCAACATGGCTTCATTAGAACTAGGTCATGCACCACATGTCTTTTAGATTTCTTTAATGAGGTTACCAGCATACGCGATCAAAAGCAACTAGTAATCGTGTTGTATTTTGATATCAAAAAGGCTTTCGATAAGGTACCTCACAGTCTTTTAATCAACAGACTTCAGTCCGTCGGTATTAGTGGCCACCTGTTGCAATGGATTAGGTCGTTCCTCACAGATAGATATCAGGTTACCAAAATCAACTCACATACATCTACACCTCGACCAATTACCAGTGGTGTTGTGCAGGGCAGTGTTTTGGGTCCACTACTTTTCATAATCTACATCAACAGCATATGCAGTTGTTTCAACACTGGTAAAACCTACCTCTATGCGGATGACCTAAAAGTGATTTATCAAACTAGCAAATCTGACTTAGGAAACTTGTTGCACACAATCCAGCACGAACTCAATACTGTAGATGTCTGGTGTAAGCAATGGAACCTTGAACTTAATACTGAGAAGTGTGGCTGGATGTGTTTCGGAGACGCTGCTCCCAAATTAGATCTCATTCTCAACAGGAATGTATTGCCCAAACTCACATCCGTAACTGATCTTGGAGTGCATTATTCGCACAACCTTAACTTCTCCGAACATATCTCCAATAAAGTTTCTCGAATGAGAAGAATGCTTGGTTTCATCTTTCGTAACTTCCTTCATAGAGAATCCAGAACAATTCTCTATAAAACATGCGTAAGACCTATTGCTGAATACTGCTCTTTCTTATTTTCTAACGTACGCCTGTCTGATATGTTGAAACTTGAAGGAATACAAAGGAAATTTACTCGTAAAGTCCTAAATCATAGCTCACCCATTGACTATCCAACCCGATGTATTGAACTCGGGCTCGATCCATTATGGAAAAGAAGGCTTAAGTCCAATCTGATCCTTTACTTTAAACTCCTGCACAAGCTCACATATTCCTCCTGCAGTTTAGTCCTTATCCATGGCCCTTGTACACATAACCTTCGAGATAAAGTATCTACGGTCAAACTTGAGAAGTATAGATCCAAAACTCGAGAAAACTTCTTCCTCTCTAAGTATGCACTTATATGGAATAGGCTTCCCTCTAAAATACGCATGGCAAGTGGGTTACATGAGTTTGTTCAACTTCTTAATGATGCTCTCAGTTGCACTGACTCTTCTGCGCTCGTGAACTCACTCGCACCCTGCTTTCATATTAATAGCTCTGCATACACTTTAAACACAATGAACTCAGTGCTGCGTCTTATTTAGTTATTTTTACACTCCCAAGTAGCACTAATTTTTCTAGTTGAATATAAATCTCTTTAGTTTTTATTTGAAATAGACAGGTTACTCTACTAACTGGGTCGTTCGACACTGTTCAACTGTAAACTGGTTGATTAGAATGCACTCTACTCTCCTGGGCGCAACCTTATCAACACTTACAACTGTGTGAGTTTCACATTGCCTATTATCAATTATACTGTTCTCACTTACACGCTATTGACTTACCTTGGCCCCTTAGTGTTATCTATTGCTCCGCTTTTAACCGCGATACTCTTTATATCTCCTGCTTAGCTAGTTAAGTACATCTTCCCCACTACATTCAAAATGCTTATATCTTGTTTGAAAATTCTTACTATTTCTCCATAACTGTTAACTGTATAGCATTGATGCCTAACCAATAGTTCATAAGTTGTAATAGCCAGACGAGTTTGTGAAAGGAACTTGCAGAAATAGTGTTTCTCAACAGGATGCGAGACATAGAACACCAAGTAGAACTCAATAGCTTCTTTTAAACATTTAACATGAGCCTAACAACACAAAAGGAGGGAGGGTGGAGTTACTGACCAGCAAACATTGATGGTATGGGCGATAACTTCAAACAACCCATGTTTGTGGGGCAGAACATTTTGTTTGCTTTCGGCTCTTTAGATTGATGAGACGACTAATCAGTAACACTGAGGTTGCTCTTATACGCTTGCTACTTCTGTGGTTCATGTTTCCAAAACTATGCTGAGGTCGCTATTCTGTCGAGACACCTGCAACATTCTTACTCAGGCGCTTACAGTATGACTTAGAGGTTGGCATTCAATAATAAAGAAAAAAAAACAGTTAGACAGTGCGAGATTTTATTCGTCAAATATTTATTTTTACAAACTCTACTCTTTTAACTAGAATTTCGATTTCAACGTACATAAATCCAGCTTCTTACTTCGACTTCTCTTCTATCCACCTGACACTGCACAACTCTCCCTTCTTTTTGCTGTACTCCTTTATCTGTGCGTTATATTCTTATATTCCCATAATTTACTTTAATTTAAGTGGTCAGTATGAATGTTATCTTGACTTACTACTGTATTGACTACTTTAACATGACAGGTTAAGTAGTGCTTTGGTTATATATATACACTTGCCACACTGCTGCCTTTTCCTCTCTCTCTTCTCCTTTTCAGAACCCCATTCACGGTGGGAAATCCTTGGCAACTCTAGGGAACATGCACCCAATGTACATGACTGTCTGGATCACAGCTCGTATCAAGCGCGTTCCATATGACCTTTCCCAACAAATTCACTATTGATCTCGGCCAATCGCCAATAGAACCTATTGTGCACCTTCCTCATTTGTACTCTAATATTGAAAATGTGGCTGTATAATACTGTTTCTGTCAGTGATATGGTGTAAATATGCAATCAGAAACTGTCTCTTATACTTAATTTAACTGCTATAACTTTTACAGTAATTGTGAAAGCATTTGTGACAATTTGATCTAGCCTGTAAACTGGCGTGACTCTTGTAACTTAGTTATTTGAGAATAAATTATTATTATTATTAGAAGTTAGCTCACACGAATCTGATGAGTCAATTCGCATAGAAAGAGCATATATTGTTCCCCGTTTGCCTAAGATTAGGCGAGTAATACCAGAGGAGAAGCAGCTTCGATTGTGGCAACATCTGCAGGGAATAGACCTGAGGAGATGTGAAAGTAAGCGAATAGGACCACTGGTTGGCTGCAATGTTCCTGAAGCGCATAGAAATTTAGAACAAAGGTTGGGAAGACCAGGGGAACCGTACGCGATAAAGACCATATTTGGTTGGACCCTGATAGGACCCCTTTGTACTCATGTCACAAGTCACATAAAGCCAAATCATCTCAGTCTCTCAGAAATTGAAAGTACTCTTGAAAGATTCTACCAGCAAGACCTGTTAGAGGAAAGTCAGTCTAAAGATAAAGACTTGTCGATTGAAGATAGAACCACACTCAGAATCATGGAGAAGTCTATCACGTTAAAGGATTGTCATTATTGTATATCACTCCCGTGGAAAGATTTACAGTTAGAATGGACGGATAATAAGTCGTATTGTTTGCATCGTCTGATCGCTTTACGCAAACGACTGTGTACCTCTAAAGATTTAGCTGGACGCTATGCGGATGCAATAAAAGATTACCTTATAAAGGGATATGCAGAAATTGCGCCACCGTTAAATGATAACTCTAACGTATGGTACTTACCGCACCACCCTGTCGTCCATCCAGCGAAACCAGGGAAAATTAGAATAGTATTCCATTGCGCTGATAAACATGAAGGACGATCATTAAACGACAGGTTACTCTCTGGTCCGGATCTTAGTAATTCGTTATTGGGTGTAATACTTAGGTTTAGACAAGAAAGGGTAGCAGTAATGGCTGACATCGAAGCAATGTTCCACCAGGTTAAAGTACCCGAATGCGATAGAGACGCTCTGCGTTTTCTATGGTGGACGGACGGAGATTTTACTGACAGCCCTGAAGAACTTCGCATGACAGTCCACCTATTTGGAGCAACCTCTTCTCCTAGTTGCGCTACGTTTGCTCTTAATCGTACAATCAAAGATAACAAGGAAAACTATGACAAGGAAGTTTACGACATGGCTACACGTAGTTTCTACGTAGACGATTGTTTAATTAGTACTCCCAATACTGAAACAAGTTATCGAGTAGCAACTCAGTTGAAAGATATGTTATCAAAAGGTGGATTCAACTTGACTAAGTGGATTACTAATGATTCAACATTAGCTCAGCTGCTACCTGAGTTTATTTGTATCGGGCCATGTGTACACATCGGGCACGGCGATCATACCACTTGTCGAGCTTTGGGCATAAGTTGGAATATACGCGATGATACCTTTCGTTTTTATGTCGGGAGGGTAAATGAACCTGTTACACGTCCTAATGTATTGTTATTTGTCGCCTCCATATTCGATCCCATGGGTAACCTAGCACCTGTCATTCTCCCAGCAAAACTTATCCTTCAGAAACTATGCAAAATGAAATTTTCTTGGGATGATTTAAGAGTAGGAGAAGAATTAAAGGTTTGGAGAAAATGGCAAGGAAGTCTTACTCATATAGAAAAAGAAGTTTTGCCTCGGTCATTAAATGCAGCCGAATGTACTGGAATCGAACTACATATGTTCAGCGATGCCTCTAATAATGGATACGGAGCAGCAGGGTATTTGCTACTACTGCAACAGCAAAGTGTTAAAGAATGTCGACTGATATTCGCTAAAGCTAAAGTAGCACCTATTAGGGCTACAAGTATACCACGTTTAGAATTGGCGGCAGCAGTTATGTCTGTGACTCTTACCATACTGAAAACGGTTTATTGGACTGACTCTCTCGTCGCACTCCATAGCATAAACAATGCTTCCAAGAGATTCCCTACGTTGTTTGCTAACAGGTTGGTCTATATACAGGAACAGACGAGGCCATCAGACTGGTGTTACGTTAGTTCTAAGCTCAACCCAGCGGATCTGCTTTCCCGAGGGTTCATGGTAAACCAAGAACGAAAATTAAAACGATTGCTTAGTGGTTCAACATTTTTATTGCAGGGATATGTCCAGCAGGAACCACACCAGCACACTAATGCATGCTCCTACATAAACTGTATGTTGTCAAATAAAGATTTATGTCCAATCGAGAATGAACCTACGTTTCTGAATCGATTCGAAGCTGTGAATTCATGGATGAAATTACAACGAATGATAGCTTGGCTTCTACGTTATAAACATCTCTTGACGAACAAATTAACTAACCAACAAAACCTCACAGTTGCAGAGTTAAGAGCGGCTGAGCTCAACATTATCCGATCGGCGCAGAATGTTTCAATGATGTATTTAAGCTGTTGAATCACGTCACGGTGGTGACGAGTGAGAAGGAGGTCAACAGAACAATTAAAGTAGCATTATGCAAGTCTTCATGCCCACTACGTCATTTGAAACCAATTACAGTTAATGGAGTAATAAGAGTTGGTGGGCGCTTACAACAATCAGGTCTACCCTTTGAAGTAAGGCATCCGATTATACTACCGCCTAATCATTTTATTACCCGTTTAATTAATAGACATTATCATGAAGCGAATGGACATATGGGAGTAAACTTTCTGATTTCAACAATTCGTGAATGATATTGGATCATTAAAGCAGTGAAAACCATCAAGTCGGTTCTCCAAATTGCTATAAGTGTCGTAAGTGGTTCTCTCAACCTTGCCAACAGGCTATGGCACCCCTACCAGAAGATCGTTTCATGTACCACTGTAATCAGTTTACTGTGACAGGTGTCGATTATTTTGGACCAATATTTGTGAAACGTGGACGGACCGTGGAAAAGAGATACGGCTGCTTGTTCACTTGCTACAGCTCAAGAGCGGTTCATCTAGAAATATCTAATACCATAGACACCGGTTCTTTCCTTTGTGTCTTTAGCCGATTTGCGGCACGTAGGGGCTACCCACAACGCCTGTATAGTGACAACGGCAGCAAATTTGAAGGTGCAGAAAGGGCAATAAAGTGTTTAATGGGAGCTTGGAACCAAGAAAAAAATATCGAAAAACCTTGCCGCTCACAATTGTGAATGGATATTTAACCCTCCAAAGGCTTATCATCGAGGAGGAATATGGGAGCGGATCATCAAAACTATTGAAAGAATATTAGTGGTTGTTCTCGACGAACAACCGGTCACCGATGAGGTATTACATACGACTCTAGTGGAGATAGAGAGGATTTTAAACAACCCGGCCTATAGTGAAGATGGTAGAAGATGTCGATGGAATGCAAGCGCTTTCACCTAGCATGTTACTATTGCCTAGAGCAAGCGAAACAGCTAGCATCGATGAAAAGGACTATTCAACAAAATACAATAGAAGATGGCGATGGTTGATCTTTTTCGGAAAAGGTGGTTGAAGCTGTATACCCCAACGCTACAGTTAACGCAACGATGGCACGATCCTAAGCCTGATTTGAAGGTTGGGGACTTAGTATTGATGATAGAGTCTGCACCATCGAGAGGGCAATGGCCGAAGGCGGTCGTCACAGATATAAAGGAGGGTACCGACGGCTTAGTTCGGAAGGTGACGTTAAAAACAGCTAACGGGATAGTGAGAAGAGATGTCCGGCAGTTATGCAAGTTAGAAGGTGAAGTTGAAGAATCACAGAAACCTGAACAATTAGAAACATCCCGGGATTCTTCAATCTCAGGGGGTAGTGTTGGATTTAGTTGATATGGGTAGTTGAGTGTTCACTATATAATTTGTACCTTGCATTTTATTGGTCAGTACGATCGAACAATCTAGAAGTTGTTTTCTATTGGTCGAAACATTGACTGTTTGGTCAGCCATTTTGTTTGGCATTCTATTCGCTTGGTGTGTGAGACACGGATCGTTTTGATGATTTGTTGTTGTTGTTGCCTAATCAACTTGAATGTAAGTAACTAGGAAATTAATAATTGTTTGTTGCAGAACCACACACGATATTTATTTATCTGTTCCAAATAAATATTCCAAACACTCAAGGAGCTTTTACTTCATTGACTTCGGGTGCGTTATTCTGGTGAATCTGACGTTATGCAACGAAAATCCTACACGAAGTGCGAAACAAATGAGGAAGATTTTCGCAACAGATAGTGTCCCTCCTATTAACTGATATTAGACACTTATATTACCTTAGCTCATGTTTCATTTCTTCTTGGTGCTGTAAATCCGCGAAGTAATGAATTTAACCTCAAAGTAAAGATGTAAAGTACATTGTACCGTATCCTATGTAGAGGTGATTGTTATTACAACCATAATGAAAAAAATTTCATTTTAATGGGTTTCTTTCAACCTCTGAATACCAGATTTATCGTATGATGCTAATGACATGCTCCTGAATGCGAGATCATCAGAAAGTCATGACCTGATGTCATTTTAAGTGAAGCCAGCTGTGAGAAATTCATTCACAGCAAGCAAAATAGATGGCTGTTTGATCAGCATCATGGTATTCTTATTTCAAAAGCTTATTAAACTATTTATGTACGCAACTGTGATTGTGAATGAATTTATAATTTTTGTGCATATAAATATTAGGTAAATAATGACGACCACACCTAACTAATAATCGTTCGATTATTAGAAACGGAAATTTGACGTAGTTATTTGTTGGTCTGTTCAACGTTGATAGATCTAGCATGAAACGTTTGAAAGAACGTGGGTTAACCGCGATCTGTAGCCAAAAGCGACGAATGAAATGGTCTACAATCAGTCGAAACAGCAACGGAACATACTGTGTCTCTATAGATGTTTAATTAAAGCACTCTTTTATAATTCACATACACACGAATACACAGCATTTCATTTTCCGTACGAAATATCTTCTCAGTATGCGATTTTCATCAGTTTCATGGCAATTAAACTGCTTCTCTCTGTTGCCCATTTCTAATAATGATTTGAACTCAGAATGCGCTAATATTGTGCGACAACAGAGATTCGGCTG